CGAGACGTCCGCACCATACCATAGAAGCAGTTTCACCTGGAACAATTGCACCTCTGTTCAAGATACGTAAGCATGCGCATTGGAAAATGTGCAGCAAAAATTTATAAGCTTAGCAAAATATACCAAATGCAGATCATTCCTCATAACAACATAATGAATAGGAGCGCGTCCTGAGTGGTCGAAGCATTCACTAGAGGCCTCTGAAAAAAAAAAAAAAAAATTCCCTCAATTCAGCTTGACAGTTCACACAAATAATCTGTAACTTTTTTAAACAAGTGTACGTGCAGAGGAGATGGCGGTGCTAATAATGCTAGTTGTGTGCTAACAAATGCACAACTAGCATTATTAGCACTGCCATCTCCTCTGCACGTACTAATTTCGACAGACTTTCGCTGTTCTTCACCAGGGTAGCTGTTGCGACCAAGCGCGTTGTGCAACTGTATCCAGCGGACGCCTGTTGTTAATTCACTGTTTAACTTTTTGTTAAAAATGTTCACTACTTTATTGCTTGATATGTCGGCCAGATTGACGTACATGAAAGCTGAATTCAAAACTTTCGGAATCACGCATGGGCAAAAAATACAACCCTAGAATTTCAGCTTTCTGTCTTATCTGGTCCCGAAGTTGGGAATTTCTCGCCAAAACACTTACGTGCCCGTATGTGGAAACCAAACTGCGTAAAAGTTAAATTTGAAATCTTAGACAACGCGCTTGAGCAATTAATCTAAAATTTCAGCTCCTTGACTTTCCTGATTCATGAAACAGCGCAGCTTTCACACCAAAACCTTCACGTGACTGCATGCGAGACGCAAGTGTACATGGAAGCTGAATTTGAAATATATGGATCACACGTAGACGTACACTACCTCAAAATTCAGCCTCCTAGCTTTTCTAATTCTTCCGTTGAAAAACCGAGACAACGCATTTGGACATGGCGACACACACAAACGCATAGACACACATACACTAAATACGCACGGACAGGACCGCGAAAATATATGTTTCGTGCAACTACTACAGCACAAAATACATTAAAAAGTGCCATTTTTAATTTTCCTGGTTTCACATCAAAACGCTCTAAAATCGCACACTTGTTCGCTTGAACCAATGAAATTGTTGTCAAAAGATCATGTCAACTCTGTTGCATAAAATAACACCGGTGACTCTTTGCAGAGAAAAAAAAAAAGAGAAAAATTAAACCCTAAGATGCAATGAAAACTTGACTTTTTAGATTTTACGACTTTCACAAAAAACCGTCCTACTGGCAAATAATGTTCTCTTAGAAAAGGGGATGAGCTTCTAAACTCCAAAATTTCGTCGCAGCTCTTCTGCGGTCAGCGCTATTACAATTTTACTAATCCTGCTTTCACTGACGTCAGGAATCTAATGCTTATTTAGGAACTTTTGATGAGGCATTATTGAAATACGAAAAATATGCCGCAAAGTAAAATAACACGAAGAAAAATCCGACAACATACCAAAATCTAACAGGGCTTGTACCTGACAGAACTGCCCGGTAGCTGCAGCTAAATGCAGCGCTGTCTTCCCGGTCCTCATAGTGCGCAATGCAAGCAAAGCACGGCGATCGTTCCATCGCAAAGCATTTAAAATGATACGAATAAGCCTGGAAAGCACTTCTATCAAAAGAACCTTTCTCCGGCACTCTAACCCTAAGCATGGCTGTCGAGAAACAAATCGGTACAGATGCACATACAGACACACACACACACACACACACACACACACACAGAGCCTCTCATCAATATGCGTTTTCTGCACTGCATAGATGCAAAAAAAGGCGCATAAAAACGGCTTAATTTCATAACCAACATCTTACTAAGCCAAACCATAATCTTTGCAAAATCTGTAAATAAGCTCGCAACCTAGCATGAAAAAAGCCTGTTTTCTAAACAGCAAAGTAGAAAACATGAGGACAGGTGGAATGTACTCCTAAATATAACGAAACTCCCGAACCAGCTCGATAAGTTTATGGAAGACAACAGCTGGTTGTGAAAAACGACATGATAAAAGCATTTAAAAATCGAGCTACGAGGAAGGAAGAAAAAAAGCCGTCACTAAGTTGCGAGACGTTTCCTTTCAACATTAACATAGCATT